GCGTCTCCTGTTCCTCAAGACAGGAAGCGTCTCCTGTTCCTCAAGACAGGAAGCGTCTCCTGTTCCTCAGACAGGAAGCGTCTCCTGTTCGTCACGAGTCTGTTCCAGGATATAAGTTCTGAGGAGCGCAGACATAGAACGGATCGACAACATTTTAAATCGGACGGCGTTCCTCCACACTCGGCGCCAGCGGGCATCAGCAGCTGGTGGGGGCAGATGTCATGTTTACGGTGGAGTCCAGCCCCTCCACTCAGGAATGATGGATGAAGAAGCAGAGCAACCATTTCCCATGATGCTCTGCTCTATCCTGACAGTGCGGTAAGGAGGGGAGGAGCTGCGCAGGAGACCGTGGGAGACTTAGGCATCTGAGTCGTCGCTGCTGTCACGGCTGATCTCGATCTGCAGCGACGGCAGGTTGTCCAACCGACTCTTCTTCAGCTTGTGGGTCAGACGGTCCTGTTTCTGTTTGATGATGGCGCCCCACACCTTCTGTAGCGTCGTGTCGTCCTCCTCTTCCTCCTCCTCCTCCTTGCCATCGCCTCGTCTCTTCCTGCCTCCTCCTGAGGAGGATGAGGAGGAGGAGGAGGAGAAGAGCCCCTCAGAGCGCTTCCCCACCCTGCGGTCATGACGTCTGGTGGCGCCGTCATCGTCAGCACTGCCGCCTGAGCCCAGTCGACTCCAGAGACCGCCTGCCGCCACAAACAGACAGGAGACACTTCAATCAACAAAATAAAACTCAAGTTTAAAGACAAATTCTTTCAGCTGTTCCCTCTTCAGGGGTTTCCAGAGTCCTCCTCCCCCATCTCACTCTGTCCTCACTCCAACTACCTCCATGTCCTCTCTAACTGCATCCATTTGTCTCCTCCGTCTTTTTCCTGTAGCTGCATTTCTAACATCCTTCAACCAATATACCCACTGTCCCTCCTCTGGACATGTCCAACCCACCGTCCCTCCTCTGGACATGTCCAAACCACTGTCCCTCCTCTGGACATGTCCAAACCACCATCCCTCCTCTGGACATGTCCAAACCACCGTCCCTCCTCTGGACATGT